GCTCCCTTTGGCACGGCCTGGCGGGTGGGCTTTCACAGAGTGTGGGCCTGGATGGGGTCTGCCACTTGCACCTCCCTCTTGCTAGGGTACAGCTAGGGTCGCTCCTAGCCCAGCGGGCTGGAGGAGCCTTCAGGTGCTAGGGTAAGGCTAGGATAGCCGCACCCCAACTGCGGTTGAGAAGAGTCTTTGGAGGAAGGGCTGCAGAGGCAAAAGGGATGTCCTCTTGCACATGGTACTGCAGATACCTAGCAGAGGTATGGCATCAGCAACTTGCCCAGAAATTTTGAGGTAGCACTCCAAGGCTGGCAGCACTGACCCCAGAGACCTGTGTTTGCCTTGCAGAGGCATCCGCGTGGGGTACACCCCTGATGTCCTGACGGATGCCACCGCTGAACTCTCTGTAGCTTTGCTTCTGGCTGCATGCCGCCGACTGCCGGAGGCAGTGGAGCAGGTGAAGAAGTGAGTATTGGCAGGTGCCAGCTGGAGCAAGGGCTGGCTTCTGAGCCCGGCAGCCCGTGAGCTGCAGGAGAAAGCATGCCACACTGGACAGATGAAACAGGCCTGAAGCCAGAGTTTCACCTGGCTTGCCCCAGACATTTTGGAGGCCAAGGTGGAGTCTCCTGCAGTTCTGTGACTCTTCATGAAGAGACAGAAGGGGGCTGTGAGAGGGGCAGAATTCCCTTTGTATAGTAAGCAGAGGACCTGAGGCAGAGGGCACCCAAGGCCACCGCAGACCCCTTGAGGAGGACACACATGGAAGGTCTGGCCAGAGCTCATTGACTGGCAGTCATTCCAGTGCTGTGGTTAGCGGTGCTTAAATTAAATCAGTTCCAAAGCTGCTGCTGCTGCTGCGCACCCGAGGTCCAAACAGATTCCTGCAGGAGACCACCAAGGTCACTTGAAGCAGGAAACTCAGAGAGGCTCACTGTAAGATCATCTGTCTGTGCCAGAGGGGCTGGCCACTCACAGTGTTGTACTCCCTGGCGTACTTGCCCAAATGCTGGACTGGGCTATGAGCAGGCTCTCCCCCTGCTGCTGTCTGACATCTGTTTCTATCTCACTCTCTCTGCTAGTGGTGGCTGGACAACATGGAAGCCCTTGTGGATGTGTGGCTATGGGCTGTCTGATAGTACGGTGGGCATCATAGGTCTGGGGAGAATAGGTAAGTGCAGGTCAGGAGCAAGATTTGTGTACCCGGTGATGGCAGGGTGGTTTTGGAGGGTCAGCCAAGGTGGTGTCCCCAGTACCCACCTCTTAAAATTTATGAGAACAGCCAGGAGAGCTGGGTAGAGCCTCTCTGAACAGTGATCTTGACTCATCATGCCTAAGTGTTAAAGTTTAAAGCATTCAAATGCATCCACTACATCTGAATGCTACAGCAAATTGGACATTGTCCTCTCTATTTTCAGTTAAACAAATGTCCTGACAAAGTCCAGGATGACATGCTTGTCATCCATTCAGTTGTGGACTTTTGTCAGCAGATGGCTGTTTCTTTCCTCACCTTTCAGTTTACTCCCTAAGGTAGCTTCAGGTTTAACACCCTGAGGCTTCCTTTCCACAGTTTCACTGTGGCTGGGGAATCATTCCCTCTCCCACGTGGGGCAGCA